TCTCTAATGACCTTCTGACTCACAGTGATGCAGGGGACTGTTCTGTTCTGGTCCTGCTGGACCTGACTGCAGCCTTTGACACTGTTGACCATCAACTGCTACTGGAGAGGCTGAGAGACTGGGTAGGCCTGTCAGGAACTGCTCTAGATTGGTTCTCCTCTTATCTCTGAGCGCTCCTTCTCTGTGGCCGTCTCCAAGTTTTGGTCCTCCAACACATCACTCACCCATGGTGTCCCACATGGTTCTGTGCTGGGGCCTCTGCTCTTCCTCCTCTATTTGCTTTCTCTCTAGCACATGCTGAGATCTTTTAAAGGAATCTCCTACCATCTTTATGCAGATGACATCCAACTTTACATCTCCTTTAAGCCCCATGAGATGTCTAAGCTGCAGCTGTTACACACCTGCTTAGACTCTATCAAAACCTGGATGGTGGGAACTTTCTACAGCTGAATGAAGATAAGACTGAGATCCTCATCTGTGCCCCAGACAATCTGGTTCCCAAAGTCGGAGACTCTCTTGGTCAGCTTGCTTCTCACACCAAACCCTCTGTCAGGAATCTTGGTGTGACCTTTGACCCAGCTCTCACCCTGGATTCTCATGTCAGTTCTCTTGTTCGCTCTTCATTCTTTCATCTCAGGAACGTTGCTAAGCTGAGTCCCATTCTTTCCCGCTCTGAACTTGAGAGTGTTATCCACACCTCCTGTAACTCTCTTTTCACGTGTCTGAGCAGAACCTCCCTGAACCGTCTACAGGTGGTTCAGAATGCCTGTGCTTGGCTTCTGACCAAGTCCTCCAAACACACCCACATCACCCCGCTTCTCCTCCAGCTTCACTGGCTGCCAGTCAACTTCAGGGTTCATGTCAAGATCCTGGTTCTGATAGGGCCTTACATGGACAAGCACCATCTTACATTGGTGATCTTCTTAGTCCTTACACCCCCAGCAGGTCCCTGAGCCTGGTGGTGACCTGGCTTTGTTGCTACTGGACTTGTAAGTAATAACATTTTTTGTCCACCAGTGCGGTTCTTTTTACTTCGTGATTTATTTTAGTATTAAGAGCGGAGCCCTCTGCACATCATCCACTCACAAAATGGTGCTGCACAGCCAATGGACGCTGAGAATCAAAAAGAAGCATAAAATAACCACATCCCTCACCGATGGTGTCCCACAAACTACCGTTAGTTTCTTTTTTACTTACACCAAATAAACCTTTGCTCACCTGAGTGCTCCAGCCATCTTGTTTTTTATTTTAGTATTAGGTGGCTCATGGTAGCGTTAGCACTAGCCACTGCAGGCTGCAGCAGGGTTATTTCAGATAGTAGTAATTCCACTTTCAACCAGTAGGGAAAAGGAGCAGGAAACGGCTCTAAGAAAAAAGCTTCAGTTCATGATCACTTACGACCATTTATGAAAATTCAGTTGAGATTTAGTGACAACTATGTTACAAAAATTGCTTCGGAAATTGTTTTTCAATTTCATTAGAATTTTTGAAAATCATCTCAACACCACCTGTGCAGTTCTTGGTAACTCACAGTGGGGTCCCAACCCCAACTTTGGGAACCACAGATCTAAGCTAAACTTGCGTACTCAAACCTATATTCCCTTTTCTGGGCTTGTTCAAACAACAGACCAAAAAAGTTACACATTTGTGTTTTTAACTGATTATGCAACTGTGTAAATGCACCCATCAGACTGGCAACTGAGAATAAAAAAAGAAGCTTTGGAAGCCCAAAGATCATTCTCTGTGCTCATGTTAGCATGGGCATGCAAATTCCAACAATCTCGCAAAGGATGATGATAAAAAGGTCCTTTCGTTTTTGTCCTGATTATCAGAAACAGGTTTTGTGCATCTTTCCCAAAGATGTTATCATCTGCGCTGCAGCACATCGCTGCCTTGGTTGGAAACAAAATCCTTCATTCCCCTTTCCTCCATCAGAAAATATGTCTGGACTGACATATGTCTATAACAATATGGCAAATAGCACAATAAATCTGATGCTGGCAAAAAGTATTCATAATCATTGCCCTTTTAATGTATTTTCTTACTCATCTGCATTCATTCAAATGGATTTTGATCATGACAATGGATGTATTTATCAGTTTTTTTTAGAATAGATGGAGGCTATGTAGTCAGATACCTGCCTGAGTGTTTGGGTGAACGTGCTCTTAAATGCACGACTGAAAACCTCTGGTCTCTGTCCCACAGCAGACAGACGCTTTAGGACAAATCAGATTAGAGATTCTTAAACAGAAAAACAGCACCTGTCTTTTTCTTTCCGAATCCAAATCCAGATATTTTTGTGCAGTTGGACTCAGTGTAAATAGAACAATGCAAACCTGCGATGGCTGCCGACTGTTGTGTTTGTAGAACGTCTCCAGCTTTGGGACGGACGTGGCTCGAATGCGAACCCGATCCTTCACACCTAAACATTTGCTGAAAGGAATGGCGATGATCCTGACAGGACAGAAAACAGGGGAGAAGAGAAATACAACTGTAATGAAATAAAACATATTATTCAGTTGAGTAAATTATGCTATGATAATCAAGGGCAATCAGCAGCAGTCAAAAGCAAAACAAGAGAGGTCATTATGCAGCTTCTGGCAGCCTGTAGAGCCGCTGCTCTGGGTGCACTGTGACATTTGGAAGGACGGCTTCTTCATTAGCAGATATTGCATTAAAATACATTTGATATGTGTGTGTGTGTCCCCTCAAAAGTTACAAAAAGAAACAATGATAAAAGTGACTGTTCGGAAAATATTGTTCTGATAAAGGTCTTTGTGTGTGTGTGTGTGTGTGTGTGTGTGTGTGCGCGCGTGAGTGCATGTTTGTGTGTGTGTTTGTGTGCGTGCGTGTATGTGTGTGTGTGTGTGTGCACATCAAGAGAATAAATCACACATGTAACTTTACCTCAGAGACAATCCTCTGAAAGTGGGAAAAGAATGAAAGATCAGAGTCAAAGAGAAGGTCAGTGTGGCTTTAAAGAGACACAGTCTCTGGTCTGGTTACAGGAGCCCCCCCCCCCCACACACACACACACACAGGGAGCAGCTGTGGCATGTGCTGATATAATGAAGACACACCTCACCCATCTTCCAGCTGACTGACTTCTCCGTAGCAACAATGACACACAGATGCCCGCTGGTTTCATACATGCACAGGTGCATTCTGGTAGTCAGCTTTTGTTGTTGTCCTCTCACCCATGACTGCTTCCAACATAGCTACTATTACTACTCTGCTAATACACACCTCATGAAGGCTCAAACAAAGACCCAAATTAAGCTAACAGATGCAACACTTTAACATTTAAAGTCAATGTAATACATGATATGGAGGTGTGTGTAAAATGCATGTGTGTTCCTAGACATGCATGTAAGCAGCTGCTGTGGTTGTTTCACACGTGCCTCGGCAGCAGAAGAACCAGTTGGTGCATATGATTCCTCGGCATTAGAAAGCTCTAAAAAACAAAGTCATTTACTTTTCATTTCCTGGTAAATAACTAAATGACATTGAAAATTCAAAGTTAAGGACTTGGACTTGACTTGAACTTGGTTGTCTTTGACTTTGACTTGACTTGAGACCTGACTAGAAAGACTTGTGACTTACTTGTGACTTACAAAGCAGTGACTTGGTCACACCTGTGTGCAGCACTAGTCTCTCCATGCACTTCATAATGAGAGGAATTTAAGCTACAGAGCCTGTAGTCGCTGTGGCTTGATATTGCAGACTTTTTGGGTATTGGTACCATTGTGGAGGTTTTTAGACAGGTGGGGGAAGAGCACTGGGACAGCAATATGCTGAAGATATCTGTGAAGGCCTCAGCCATCTCTGCTGCACAGTAACGTAGCACCCTTCCCTGAATGCCTTGTGGACCAGCTGCTTTCTTCATGTTAACCCCTCTGAGTGTACGCTGTACCTCAGCAGTCTGCAGGATGCACCTGGCTGTTGCTCGTTGCTGCTTTGCAGGCTTTAGAGTCTTGTCTCCTGATATTTTGACATCTCGCCTCAGATGTCAAAACAGCAATGCAGCTCAACCACTGAATTGCAATATTGATGTTTATCTCCACAAATAACACAATCCTGGAGGAGCTTCTACTGTGTGGTGGAGTTGCTAATGCTAATGGTTAGCTTCTACTAGCCGAGACGTTCTCTGCTGTTTCCTGGATCAACTCAATTCAAAGATACTTTATTAATCCCAGAGGGAAATTAAAGTTTCAGTACACACAATTCTGAGACCAGACATACATACATAGGCAAAAACACATGACAAGAATTGGTGACTGTGGTCATTCGCAACCCGAGTCGCGCTACCTTAATAGAGATCAGAGGGTTTACATGAGGATTGAGTCAAGTGGAGGAAAAAAAGGTACTTCAGAGTTACCCTCCACACGGAGGGCAGCTTTGCTAGCAAAAAACACCTCAGACAGAAATGCTACAGGCTTCAGACATTATGCAACATAAGTGTCCACTAGGTGGGGAGGTAGGGTTGGGACTCTCCTCACATCAGTGCATGCAGCTGCAATGAGCAGCGCTCGTCACCTCCGTTTGGACAGGGGAAGGAGGTAATTGGGTTGGAAAGCACAGTGACTCCTGGAAACGGTTCAACGGCTTTCACCGGTCACAGTCCCACCCCGGGTGGGATAGGGAGACAGAGTTGCCATGGCGACTGCAGCACTCCACATTTCTTCTGGGGAAGTGATCACTTCAGCCTCACAGGCTCAAGGGCACCAGATTCAGATAAAAACTTGTTTTAGGGCCAGACAGAGATAATTTCCTCTCTGTCTTAAAGTTCTGTTGGTCTCCAAATCCAATAATGGCGTAAATTAATCTACTCCCAACCGTGCTCCTTGATTGAATCAACCTTCTGTGCCAGAGCCTGAATCTCAGCCAAAGTTCCAAGCTTACGACTCATCTCAACAATTAAATAAGTTTGTGCGTTCACAATGTGGTGTAGTCCATCCCTGAGCTAAGGGATTGAGCCGATATTCCTCGAAAGCTCATTAATTTTCTGGTAAGCCAGGTAGCCGCTCAGGCCAAACAGCAGGAATCCCGACACCAACACCACGAATATCCAGACATCTTCAGAATCCTCTACAGACTGTTGAGAGAGGCAGATCAGGTTCCACTGTTTCCAGGTGTCCATGATATGCCCAGCTGGCTCTGTCCCAGATGGGCACCCGAGAGCCCCTTCTCCCGTTCTCATCGTTGAAAAAATCTTGTCAATCGTGTTGAGAGACCAACCGACCAGGTCCATTTTTAATAATTTCCAGTTTCCAGAAAAAATGCAGAAGCGCCGTACACCCAAAGACAGACAAAGAACCTTGGGATAAGATAGGGAGGAGAGGAGGAAAAAAGCATGTGTACTCTCCAAGAGCCGGAAGAAGAATGCTAAACCAACAACAGCCTTCGCTGTCATGAGTCAAAATGGGTGAGTTCATGAATGTCAAGTGACAGTGTGACGTGGATCTGTCATGCTTTTCAAATCCTAGAGTTTTACCGTCAATTTTCAATCAGCAGCTGATGCAGGAGTTGTAGGAGACTATTTTCATGTTCAGCCTGCATGAAAAACTCAGAGTGACTGATTATAACCAAAACTAATATACTTTTTTTTTCACAGCTCCACACATTGAAGAATAAAGCAAGAAAGCTAAAAACTGCATTTTTTTTACCTCAAAAACACCACACTATATCAGCTAGTAAACTAAATGGTTATATAGGTGTGTCACATTAGGAATTATGGCCAAAAAAGTGCCAACAAAATGATAAGAAAACATGTTTTTATGGTTGCTTACACCATTTTCCACAACCATCAGATACTGTGACTGTAGGGTGAAGACTGGATAAAGAGGATGGACCTTAGAAATGTTATTTTTTAAAATGTAGCTAGCTTTAAACAGCTTTTTCAAAGCATAGTCACCAATTTTATGCTTCTGGTTTGATTTAGCTGCAAAATGTCCTAATTTAGCTTAGAAAGCGTCAAAAATGTTCTCCTGCATTAGAATAAAATACTAATAGTATCAGAAAATGTGAATTTTCATTGGACATTTTATGTAAGATGTTAAGTGCTTAAAGACAGCTTCGGTTAATAAAATATTCAAGACAAAGTTTCCCTACTTCTTGTGTTTTTATCTCATCCCAAAGATCAACTAAATTGTCTTCGTCGGAGAAGAGCTTTTCAGCAAACCTCCAGATGAAAATGTGGTCTTGTACAACAAGCACTGGTGGGAATTTACGTTAAATCAGACATTCTTTGCCCAAACGCTTGCTGAGCTCTCTATTAAATTGTGCAGGCTATAAATCAGCCATGCAGCAAAAGAAAGCTCATTCACTTTGGCTGTAAGCTTCCACAAATGAACAAACTGGTCTGCAAATTTAGACCAACATGCATGCATATTAACTTTTAATAAGGCTGGACTCTGAAGTGGAAGACAGGCTGAAAAATATCAACTAATGCTTATTTCTCGCTGCATGTGTGTGCAGCCTGATTTAGCCTCACCTTTCAAATACATATCTGAGGACTATAAAGACAACGGCCAGAGGCAGGGTGTAGATGAGATCCCTGGGTAGAGGAAAGTGGCCCTCGCCTTGCTCCATCTCAGTGTCCTGCCAGGAGATACCAGGAGGGAGCCAGTACTCCTCCTGCCACAGCCAATCATTCAGCAGGGCCTCCATCCTGGAAACAAAGGAGGTGTTGTGCAGAAATGTGTACTGGACCTCAGACACACAATAAATCAATCTCTTCTTGTTTATAAAAAAACACAACTAAATAAAAGTTAGGATTAAAAAACACATTAACTCCATTGTGGTTGCTAGACTGGTGAATTTCATCATTACCTCACATGTTTTATGCACATATTTGACACATTGAGCTCCTTAGACGTTCTAAACCATATTTATAAAAACGTTATTACACAAGAATTGTTTTGGGAATATAATCTGAGCATTTGCTGATCCGTAGCCCTGTATCCTCTAGGCCTGTATGCAGATTACAGTTTGGATCACATGCAGCCTCCTGTCAAAGCGCACTGAGACATAGCGGCACATCAAAGGCTACGCAGCCTGACGTCAAAAGGAACCGCAAAATCGCGTCAGGAAACGCGATTTTTTCCCCCTAATGTTTTGATTTAAAGTGAAAACAAGCAGATATCTGCTAGAAACGACTCTATTCGCGTGCAGAGACGCCCACCCCTGGCTGTCACCCCGCTAGAACAGCCTCGAGCCCAGCGGCAGGAAGCTCATCTGTGTTCATTTTACATCCAAAATAAGACGAGCTGCAGCATCGGAGGAGCTGGTAGCGCTTACCTGTTCGTGTTCATGTTGATGATGATGATGATGATGAGAAACAAGCACGGGGAATGGGAGAGGAGAAGGAGGAGCTTGATTTCCACGCACCCTGCTCCCCGAGGAGGGCGGAGACAAGCACGCGCAGTTTTTTTATTTTTATTTTTACCAACGTGAAACAAGCAGGCTACCGGAGCCAACGCACATGCTGCCGATAGGAACGCCTCGTTTAGGAGAACATACCCTGACTGCACACCTGTGTTTCTGTACTTATGGGAACCCTTCATTGAATTCTTCATTTTAGTGGCTGAATTATAATCCCAACCCTAACCTATCCCTACAATTTAAGACATTCCTCTAAAACCGAATGTCAAAGGGGACAGGGACCAGCTGAATGTCCCCACAATTTAAAAATGTCCACATAGGTTAAAAGTTAAAAATGTCTCCCAGAAATTCATTTACAAGACGTGCTCTCTCTCTCTCTCTCTCTCTCTCTCTCTCTCTCTCTCTCTCTCTCTCTCTCTCTCTCTCTCTCTCTCTCTCTCTCTCTCTCTCTCACACACACACACACACACACACACACACACACACACACACACACACACACACACACACACACACACACACACACACACACACACACACACTTGTACTTATATGCTTGGATTTGGAGAACGTCAAATGCCTTTTTCAAATCCACAAAACACATATAGTAGATTGGTTGAGTGAACTCCCACACACCCTCCAGGACCCCCCTAGTATAAAGCTGATCCAGTGTTCCACGGTCAGGACAAAAACCACATTGTTCCTCCTGAATACGAGGTTTGACAATCCATCAGACCCTCCTCTCCAGAACCCCTGAATAGATCTTACCATGGAGGCTCAGGAGTGTGATCCCCCTGTATTCGGAACACACTCTGTGATCCCCCTTTTTAAATAGGGCACCACCACCCCGCTCTGCCAATCCAGTGGAACTGCCCCTGATGTCCATGCAATATTGCAGTGCCGGATCAGCCAACACAACCCCACAACACCCAGAGCCTTGAGAAACTCTGGCGAATCTCGTCCCCAAAAGCAACTGACTAATCTGAAGCAGATACATGATGGTTTCATATTAATATGTAACAGACTTTACAAATCATGGTATCTAAAGTTAATTGCAATAAATACAATCTTTAAAATTCTTCCCTGAGGAAAACAATCTGAAGAACTACTGGCCCCGGCCCAAGTGGCACAGTTTTCAATCTCTAAGAATTGGGAGACACTGGATGGGCTGTTAAGTGCTCTTGTTCATCTCTGCTAAGTATACGCTTGTGTTTTTACTTCTGAATTTGCTGATCTAAACAAAGTCTGGAAAGCAAAGCCTCAAGAAAATCAATAAGAAGTTAAACATTATGCCAAAGCTGTATTTTGTAAAGCTGACGGAGATAGGAATGATTGTTTAGGGCGTAACACTAAAGAGATGAAAAGATTTCTCTGTCTGCAGTCGTGGAATTCTTCAGATGAATGTACGTAAATCCGGTCTCATAATATTGTATGATCCACAGTTTTTTATATTTTAATAAATCTTGAAAACACTCAGTGGTCCATCTTGAATCATCTTAAGGTTTGAAACCCCCGAAAAAGCATCAAACAGAGAGAGAGAGAGAGAGAGAGAGAGAGAGAGAGAGAGAGAGAGAGAGAGAGAGAGAGAGAGAGAGAGAGAGGGCCAATGGATAAAAGGATTAGTGTCCAAACAAGTTTCACAACCTAAGAGTTTCTTTCATTCATAGCACACACACACACACCTGCCACTTGAACTTGATAAGGATTTACCAGGTACAGGGTGCAGGTATAACACGTTTATTATCAGCTTTTCTGCATCACACTTTCACCTTCAAAATGACTTACTGTGTAATGGTGGGAATCACACATTTATATGAAATATTTATGTTCTTGTTTGCATCATATTTATAAGTTATAAAACCCAAACCCAATCTAATTTCATGCAGCTGATTTACATGATTTAGTTTTATAAATCCAACAGACGATTTCAGTGTAGAACCTGGTAGCTGGACCGATGTTGCCCACATTATCAGGCTGTGCTTTGATACGTATCATGTCTATGTTATCATAGCTTTCTGGGGTATTCAATTCTGGGCCTGGAGGGCCGGTGTCCAGCACGGTTTAGCTTTAACTCTGTTTCAGCACACCTGGTTTCAATCAGCAGGTGATTAACAGGCTTCCGCACAGCCTGATGAGCTGCTGCACAGGTAATTCAAGTGTGTTGAATCAGATTAACCACTAAAACGTGCTGGACACCGTACCTCCAGGCCTGGAATCGAATACCCCTGATCTATGGGATAATCTAAGCTATATAAATAAACCAGGTTCAGATCAAAATGTTTGGCTTTCATGGACACTGAGCTCTGATCAAAATATACCTTGATTTAACACAATAGACCAGTTTCAAGATGTGTTGGCCATTTCAACTACAAAAGGCTATGCTATGTTTTAAGTGTTTCTGTGCTCCTACACACCTGATTAAACAATTCAACTGTCTGTTGAGAATGTCATCAGCTCAGCAGAAGTCTGCTAATCACTCACTGATTATATTCAGGTTTGCTGAAGCAGAAAAACATCTAAAATATGCAGGACGGTAGCCCTAGAGGCCAAGAATAGGACACTATACCTCTATAGTCGCTACATATTCTCTCCTTGTGTGATATCTGACTGACAGAGGCTTGCTCCTGCTTCTGAGGTTTGAAAGTCACATTTTAAACTGACTCAGGTTGTATGAATTCACATAACAGCTCAGTTAAAAGCAGTTTTTGTTCAGAAAACCCAGCTTTTGCTGTTGAATGCAAGTCAAGCAGAATACTAAAAGGAGATGTGAAAGTATTGTAGTAAAATTATAACAATGGTGGAAAAAAACAAGAAGCAAAGTATAATCCAACATTTCCATTATCGTGCTTCACGGAAATCTGCGTAATTTGAAGCTGCCATAAAGATAGGAGTGCTGGATTAGCTTTTTACTTTGACCTGGTTGTATAATAATAATATTCTCAGTCTGAACCATCCACTGAATGAGTTTTATGGCCCCAGGATCCAGATAGTTTTATATTTTTAACTGCTAAGGTTTGGCACTTAAGAGGAAAAGACACAGAGTCATAAAATAATGACTCAAGGACGTTTGTGCAAACCGACCAGCCCATCTAATGGTTGTCTGGACCAGGCAGAGCAGCACTAGCATGAAACAATAACAACAGCGATGGATGATTTGGATTCAAGAAGAAGCTCTCAGCTTTTCACCCGTCTGTCTGGGGCAACAATAACACAGCCAGGAGGTGAGGAATGTGAACAGGAAACCAGTCCTTAACAGCAGCAGTGGGTGTTAAGAACTGGCTGAGCTGGGCTTAGCACCCTGAGTGGTTTGCAGTCATTTTTCAGAGTTTTAAGACACATATGCATCATTTTCCCTTGGGATCCTGGTCACAAACGCACCTAATAGAATAGAATAGAATATACTTTACTGATCCCATCAGAGGAAAATTATCTGTTTTCCTGATTTTCTGTCAGGTGTTGTGGCTGCCATTCCAATGCAACAAGGTCAGCTTCTAAACTGTATCACTTATTTTTGTTTCCCTGTTTCCTCCCCTTTCCCTTTCTCACCATCTTGGAATTCCTCAAAACCTCTACTGTTACCTTCTCAGCGGTAGTGGTGTGTGTCTGCCCTGAGACTGGGAGATCTTGGGTTCAAATCCATGGTCAGGTCATGGCAAATACTTAAAAAATGGGACCCAAAGCCTCCCCGCTTGACACTCAGCTCACGGGTTGGATTGGGAGTTTAAATCAACAAAAAGTTATGGAGCATAGCAATGTCTGCGGCTCACCTCTCCACACGGGGATGGGTCAAATGCAGAGATGTAATTTAACCACACACCAGTGTGTGTGATGACTAAAGGAACTTTTCCTTCTTTCTCCAATTGGTGTTGCCATCAGTTGACAGTTTGACCACCAAAGTGAGGCTACACACACACACACACACACACACACACACACACACACACACACACACACACACACACACACACACACACACACACACACACACACACACACACACACACACACACACGACCTTTCTTCCGAATTCAAATCCAACTGATTCTCCCTTATTCCAGCAGAGGGCGCCAGATATTGCATTACCCTCAGATTTTGGTCAGTGAGCTTATTGCAGGTGAAGCATGTAAAACTAGACTGATAATTAAATAGATCAGCTTATGTTTTATTTTATATCTTAAGGCATACAATCTTTGTCAACCACAAGACCCCCACCGTATGGTAGATCCAGGCCAGCCCGTCACATACTGATTGTTTCTCTCTGTTTTTTTTCTTGTTTGGTTTTTATTATTGCTTTATTGTATTTTATTACATGTTTTCTGTCAAGTGACCTTGGGTGTTCTGAAAGGCGCTTTTAAATAAAATGTATTATTATTATTATTATTATGTCATCGTGGCTTGTGTTTGGATTTGCATGCTCCAAGAAAAACAAAGACATTTCTGCCTAAACCACAGAAGCATCTTCTATTAAAAGTGTATCAAAAATCTTAATGTCCTGTGAGTCAAAAGGAATATAAATATCGGCATTCATTGATTCATTCATTCATTTAGAGCACGTTCCACTTAACGTTGCCCAAAATGCTGTACACTGAGCCAAAACACTTAAAGGATAAAAAACATATTTTTTTAAACCAGATGAAACCAATCAAAACCTAATAAAAGGATCTAATCATTTGTGTACCTTTATAAAATATTTGTATCAAATTTCCTGGGAGATGACTTTAGGTCTAAAGAGAACATCCCCTAAACATCCACACCACACCACACCACACCTGTTTGTTTATACAACACATTTAAAAACAACATGGGAGCTGACAAAAGCACCTCCCAACATAGGACAGAGAATAAAGAATACAAATGAAACAGTCCACAACAAAACAGACACAGGAATATAATTCAGCTTTGAAGGTCTGCCACATCATTGCTTAATTTGTCATAATTAATTTATTAGTTTTAAAATCGCTGCTAAGTGATTTTTTTATGAGTCAAATTAGTTTGGGAAGAATTTGCCAAATTAAATGACCAAATGACTCCAAAAGGTTTTAAGGATCCAAGTAATGTTTTTTTTTCCAGATGAACTGTGCAGAAAATATGGACATCGTTATTTCTAATAAACTTAA